CACCAGGTTCTGTTCCTCCTCCCCTCTGCCGATGGAACTTAAGTTGATGCCACCCACATTGAGGCCGTTGTCAACAGCACAGCAGCGAACACACGAATGCCGGTTTCCTTTGATGTGTGGTGCGTCTTGTACCTGACAAAGGAGCTTTTCTTCTTGCAGACATAAGCATGGGCCGTTTCTGCTCTTCGTTTCTTTGCTTCACGTCCATATTCCCCTGGTCACCACGAAAGCCTTCCTTGGGAAAAGCAGGCACGGCTTGTACGGTGACAATGTGGAGGAGATGGACTGGCTCGTCGGTAAGTCAGGGTGGCCTGGCTCTTGCATGACTCAGGGGGGACTGGTTCTTAGACAAGTTCTTAGATAAGTGTAGTGGGGCTTCACCTCACCTTGGACACAGATTTCAATAAAGAATAAGGGAGAAGACACAGAATAAGGGGAAACTTGGGCGGCGCCTGTGGCTCAAGGAGTAGGGCTCTGGCCCCATATACTGGAGGTGGCAGGTTCAAGCCCGGCCCTGGGCAAAAACCACACACACAAAAAAAGAATAAGGGAAAAGACAGAGAATGGGGAGAAAAAAAAAATACTGTTGTGGTTCATGTGCACCTTCAGTATATTTCCAAGGATATAGTCTGATGTTGCATAAAATCAGCCTCCTGCAATATATCCTTGTTAGAAGTTCCAGAGAGCAAAAGTAAAATGTTAACTTCCAGTACTTTAGGGCAACACTTTATAACCTTCTTTCTATGGCCCTTGAGAGACTCTGCAGAAGAACAATAAGATTGTACAGTTTCTTTATTTTTCATTGCATTTAATTTTTCAGAGACAGAGTCTTACTCTGTCACTGTGGGTAGACAGCCATGGCATCATAACTCACAGCAACCTCAAACTCCTGGGCTCCAGTGATCCTCCTGCCCTGGCCTCCTGAGTAGCAGTTACTCACCACAATGCCTGGCTACTTTTTCTATTTTTAATAGAGTCTGTTTTCAATAGAGTTCTATTTTTAATAGACCCTGTGTCACTCTTGCTCTGGCAGGTCTTGAACTCCTGAGTTCAAAGGATGCACCTGCCTCAGCCTCCCAGAGTGCTGGGGTTATAGGTGTGACCCACCCCACCCAGCTCCCAGCTAATTTTTCTTACTTTTCGTAGACAAAAGGTCTTGGAGTGTTGCCCAGGCTGGTCTGGCATTCCCAGTCTCATGCCATCCATCCACATGGGCCACCCAAAGTACTGGAATAACAGGTGTGAGCCACTGCGCCCAGCCAGATTGTAGATTCTTAAAACAGCATGAAAGTTGAAATTCTTAGAGAATCCTAAGATAAGTACAGCGATACAGCCAGCCAAGTAAAGAAGAAAATGACCCCCAAATAGGAACTTTGGCGGGTAGGGGGGGTCACACTCTTTTTTTTTTGTTTTTGTTCAGACAGAATCCTCAGTATGTCACCCTCGGTAGAGTGCTGTGGCATCATAGCTCACAGCAACCTCAAACTCCTGCGCTCAACTGATTCTTTCCTGAGTAGCTGGGATTACAGACTCCTGCCACAATGCCCAGCTATTTTTTTGTTTGTTTGTTTGTTTTAGCAGGCCTGGGCTGAAATCGAACCTACCAGCCCTGGTGCATGTGGCCAGCTCCCTAAGCACTGAGCTACAGATGCAGAGTTGGGGTTCACACTCTTAACTACCCCAAATTTGCAGAGTGACAAGTGTCCAAATGGTTTAAGATCTTTGTTTTTTCAGAGCTTTAAATGACCATGGGTCTCCACGGATGACCTGTCCAGGGACAGGTCTGTACTGCTGCTGTTCATCAGCCTTTAATTCGCCAAAACCCGTGGGTTTTGCTCACAGTGCTGGTATAGACAGAGATGTCTCGGCACTGTGCCCCACCACCTCCCCGTCTTGTCTCCTAGTCCTGGGTCTGTCTCTCACACACACACGCACCATATTTAAAAGCATATGCATTGGCGACCTGTTGACTTTTTGTGTTTATTCTGGTTTTATTTATTTTCCTGTATTGGTGGTCTCTTGCTAAACAGCCCCATCATCTTAATGCTTTGATGTCACACTCAGACCTGAGTACTGGTCCCTTTTTGTCCCTTTCTAGCCAGAAGTGACTTGTACAGAAAAGGGGGCCATGGGTTGACGTCTCAGAAGCTGCCTTTTGAACGCTGTCCTGAAACTTCTGATTTTCTCGTAAAGGGGAGATTCTTCGTGCCGTGGATGAAAACGGTCTGAAGAACATGACATTCGTGTATTTTACGTCCGACCACGGGGGGCATTTAGAAGCAAGAGATGACCGTGGCACCCAGCTAGGGGGATGGAACGGAGTGTACAGAGGTGAGACCAGCGGATATCGGGGACAGACATGTGTGACGCCCCCCAGGGAAAGTCCTGGCATAGATAGACTGAACAGTAAAACAAGTTTGCCAGTTCAAATAGAGTCTATAGTGGCACTTTTCCTATACACATAACTCTGTCTGAATGACTAGGACAGAGAGATAAAAAGACACATGCCCTTCCCTTTAAAACAGGGGTCCTCAAACTTTTTAAACAGGGGGCCAGTTCAGTGTCCCTCAGACCATTGGAGGGCAGGACTGTGGGCCCCAGGACGAGTCAGCTGCTAAGCAGGACAGGCAGTGGTGGCAAAGACACCAGGCAGGCCGGATAAATGTCCTAGGTGGTCTGCATGTGGCCCGCGGGCTGCAGTTTGAGGACGCCTGCTTTAAAAGGTTGGCCTGTTAGTAGAAGAGAGATAAGGACACATAAGATAAAATTAAAATAAAAACCATTCTAAATAAAAAGCAGCATAAAGTGAAACAATTCCAGATTTCTATCTTCCCATATCAGATTCAGAAAAAAACACTTTTCTGATTTTACTTTATATTTTTATAGAGACACAGTCTCACTCTGTGACCTTGGGTAGAAGTGTCACACCTCACAATCATTTCAAATTCCTGGGCTCAAGCGATCCTCCTGCCTCAGCCTCCCGAGTAGCTGAGACTACAGGCAGCTAGGAACTTTTGGGTCATCAGGCACCTGCCACAATGCCTGGCTAGTTTTTCTACTTTTAGTACAGCCGGGGCCTCGCTGTTGCTCAGGATGGTGTTGAACTCCTGAACTCCAGCAATCCACCTGCCTCAGCCTTGCCGGCATTACGGGTGTGAGCCACCATACCCTGCCTCATGGTACTTTTTAAAAACTCTATTACAATGAATTTTTGACAGACATGTGTTCCCTACCTGCGAATTCTTCTACTCACTAAAATGTATTTGTCGGCGGCACCTGTAGGTCAGCGGAAAGGGCGCTGGCCACATACACCAGGGCCTGCTCAAGCAACAGTGACAACTGCAACAAAAAACAGCTGGGCATTATGGTGGGCGCCTGCAGTCCCAGCTACTTGGGAGGCTGAGGCAAGAGGATCAGTTAAGCCCAAGAATTGGAGGTTGCTGTGAGCTGTGACGCCACAGCACTCTACTGAAGATGGCACAATGAGACTCTGTCTCAAAAAATAAATAAATAAATATAAAATGTATTTGTACTCCCCCAAAATTAATATTCATGGGGTGTTTGCTGTTATTTGCAGAGGGAGAGAAACCACAGCCCCCTGATACATTCGCAGCCAAGGTCAAAGTGCTCTGCCCTCCTTTATCAGTTCCTGCCATAAATGGGTCTTTTTCATGACCAACTGGCTGCTGTTTTTACACTAAGGCATATCCTTTGTCCTTAAGAATGATGCTTACGTGTCTCCTTCCCTAAGTGTGACAAAGACCCACACTTTCTCAGCTCCAGTTGGATGAGTGGATACAATCCAGTTCTCTTTGGGAAGGAGGGATATTTGGGTTAGCTGAGGTTTAGCGTGAGGTC